TGTCAGGCCGGGAAAGGTTTAGATATAATAACCGCCCAACAAGTCTTCTAAACATGCTGGAATCAACCATGAGAGAAGAATTCTGAGATGATAAATTCAGTCCCTGAGGAAAAGGAGTGGCTGTGCACTTGGAATCCTGCAGACCAAGATCAGAAATGATGTCCAGGATGTACTTTCTCTGGTTGAGGTGAGTGCCATGTTTGTACCTCAAAATTTCAAGTCCTAAAAAGTATTTAGCCTCCCCAAGATCCTTAATGGTGAACTGAGTGTCAAGATAGCCCTTAAGATCATGAACATCTGAGATAGAGTTCCCAGCTATTAAAACATCATCAACATATATCAAAAGGGCCAAAAACTGATTTCCTGCCTTCTTAACAAATAAACAGTGATCATGGATGGATTGAACAAACCCATAAGCAAGTAGCTTCTCAGAAAACTCAATGTTCCACTGTCTAGAAGCCTGTTTTAGGCCATAAAGACTCCTTTTAAGCAAACATACTTCATTCTTCTTAGCTTTGTTGTAACCTTTTGGTGGCAGCATGTAAACCTCTTCCTCCAAAAAGCCATGGAGGAATGCATTGTTAATGTCTATGTGGTGCAAGCTCCAGTTGTTTTGTGTGGCTAATGCAATCAATATCCTGACTGATACTAGTTTTGCCACAGGAGAGAAGCTGTCCATAAAGTCTATTCCTTCCTTTTGAAGATATCCTTTTGCAACCAATCTTGCTTTGAACTTGTCTACAGTCCCATCTGGATTCCTTTTCACTTTGTACACCCATTTTGACCCAATTGCTCTTTTTCCAGGAGGTAATATAGTTAACTCCCAAGTGTGGTTCAATTCCAAGGCCTGCAACTCTTTGTTCATTGCTTCAATCCATCTATCATCCTTAATGGCATGTTCATAGTAAAGTGGTTCACAAGGTGTCTTATTCACTTCTGCAAAAAAAACTGCTGTGTTCCCCATCAAGCTGTGAGTGGTAGTTGAGTTGACCACATAGTCATTTAGCCATTCAGGAGGTTTCCTGTGTCTCATACTCCTCCTAGTCTCCAAAACCTCATCAACAGCTTCATTATTACTAGGATCTTCCTCAGTCTGATCCTCTAAATCTTGCAAACTCTCTGTAGGCACTGGCAAGGGAAAATTATTTTGTTGTAGTTGCTGTGGTTCAATTCTGAAAGGGAATCTCTCTTCATAAAACAAAACATCTCTTGACACAAAGACTTCCTTTGATTCCAAACCAAACATTCTGTAACCTTTCACCCCATTCACATAACCCAAGAAAGCACAAGGTTGTGCTCTAGAATCAAATTTTCTCTTATGAGGTTCTACCTTTGCTGCAAAGCACAAGCACCCAAATACTCTGAGATCATTGTAATTAGGAGCCTTGTCATGAAGTAATTGGTATGGAGATTTCCACCCAAGATTCTTTGCTGGCAACAAGTTGATTATGTGAACTGCTGTCATTAAGCTGTAAGGCCATAGGTCCTTTTGTAGGTTTGCCTGAAAAGATAATGACCTAGCCACTTCAAGGATAAACCTGTGTTTTCTCTCTACCACACCATTCTGTTGTGGTGTGTATGGGCAAGATCTGTGGTGTATAATCCCATTTTCTTTCAGAATGAGTTGAGTCTCCTTGCTCATGAACTCAGATCCATTATCTGATCTCAGTTTCTTGACTTTCAAACCAAATTGCACTTCAATCATTTTAAGGAAGAACTTAATGTGACTGCTTGTCTCTGATTTATATTTCATTAGGAAGATCCACGTGGCTCTGGTGAAGTCATCTACAATGGTCAGCATGTATTGGGTGTTTGTCAAGGATGGCTCATGGTAAGGACCCCATATATCAACATGGATCAGATCAAACTTTGCTGTGCTTTTGATGCTGCTTAAAGGAAAAATCTTCCTGCATTGTTTTGCCTTGTGACATGTTTCACAAATCCTGGAATATTTTCTTCTACATTCTTCCTTGAGAAAACCAATATGCTGCATACAAGAGACTGAGCTATGGCCAAGTCTCTTATGCCACAATTCCAATTGATTCAAGTTCTGTGAATCCTCACTAATCTGGTTTGAGTAATGAACCTGTTTGTCTAGTATGTATAAACCTCCAAGTGCTTTCCCCTTTGCAATAATAGAGTGACTCCTCATGTCCACCAGGCTGCAATCATTTTCTGTGAAATGAAATTCCAAATTTCCACTATTTATCAATTGACCAACTGACAATAAATTGTACTTGAACTCAGGTGCAATCAACACATTCTGCAGCATAATGTTTTCAGTCAGTTTGACCTCACCCACTTGATTAACTTCAATTTTTGTTCCATCTGGAAGA